GAGTAACATTTATCAACTATAGTGTCTTGCATATTACAGCTACTAAGAAACTGAGGGGATTCGATGTATAAAGGAAGGTTATCTCCAATAGGACCTTTCCAAAGTCTGGAAATGTAGACTATTGCCGGCATTGATCCTTTCTTCCAGCCATATAGTGATCTTTAACTTGTAGCTTCCCAAATAAGGGAGTCACTAAACTTTTCTTCACAGTTGCAAATAGTATCTATTTTTCAGGTACTTGGCAAAAATGATATCCTTCCAAAGCCCTTTTTAATTGTCAAGTTTCCACCATCATTTAACAAGGAGACTGGTCTTTTGCTTAAGTAAATCTTTAATCCCAAAGCCAGCTTTGCATTTAAATTTACAAACTTGAGACCATTTGACAAGATAGTATCATTTTCTCCCACTCCCCCCGCCAGAAGAAAGCGCCTCCTATGTTTATCAAATCTTTCAATGAAAGTTTTAGATAACACAACATCGACATATAATAATAGGCAATACTGGACATGGAAGTGTTGAGAAGGATAAGTCTACCACCTGAAGAGGCTGCATTTCTAATCCAGGATTCACACCTCCGACTTCGGGTTATTATGAGTTGTGTATCCTTTTATATTGACTTGTGTATCTTTTTTAGTACGTTAGCTTGTGATTTACCTGTCAATAATAATGCGATTCTGTAAATAAATGTTCATCAAATTCTGCCCATGAATTACCTTGTATTTTGATTAGAAGCTTGGTAAGTAAATAAAAGTGAAATTGGTTCTGGAGGTAAGTAAATTAAGGTGATTGATTATTATACATGAAAGGTTGGATGAAGGGGTGGTGGATAGAAAGGTGAAATGGAAAGCTTGCGTTCTTTTTAAGTATACAAATATATCTGATAATTTATATTCTTACACATACTGACCTAGGGTTATTATGTTCAGGGAAATATAGGTTGAAGATATAGCTTTTCATACCCTACTTGCTCTGCAAGAATCTGGAAACATATGGATGGGGAAAATGCACAGATGCAAAACAAATCAATAAAAAACACGAAATTATGTACATTTACTTGCTTGGTTTACATGGATAAGAAAAATAAGACAATACCGATAAGCACGGTCAAATCAAAGTCGAACCACATAAAAGAGTGTAGTTAGGATTTTACGATGCCACTAAAAACTCCACTTACACTGCGCGTAGAAATTCTAAAAAGAGGTCTGCGTGGATTGTAAAATCACTTCATATTTTTTTGAGCTCAAAAAAATCACTTCATATTTTTTTCTTCAATAGTGACATAATATAATTTCTTTACCACATTTTATTTGCTCCATACCTTTGAACCAAACAAATGAAACAAAAGGAAACAAAAAATATCTGTTTCTGTAATTTTCCTCTGTTTTTTCTATAAACCAAACTATCTCTTCAAACCTATATATCTAGAGGATCCGGTAGGTTGATGAGTCCATCTAGGAATGGTGTGTGATCAATCCTACCCAACACAGAGAGGGCTACTCGAAGATATTGGTTTGCTTACAGACCATGACACGTGGGGACCCGGTGAGCTCCAGCCCAAGCTTGCAATGCTCTGCTTCCTCTGTTCCCCATTCACCGCGGGCCCGCGGCGCGGCGCAAAAACCCTCACCCACAGCAGCGGCGACCAAATCCGCTGAGCAGGCCGGCAATGCCGCGGAGGTCCGCGTCCGCCATCGTCGCCGACACGGCGAGCGGGCACCACCTCCTCACGGTCCACGGCTACTCCCGCACCAAGGGCGTTCCCACCGGGGAGTGCGTCAAGTCCCGCCCCTTCGACATCGGCGGCCACCGCTGGCGCATCGACTACTACCCCAACGGCGTGCGCGCGGAGGTCGCCGACTACGTGTCCCTCTCCCTGATGCTCGACGAGGACGAGGGCGTCGCGGCGGCGCCGGCGGTGAAGGCCCAGTACGACATCCGCCTCGCCGGCGAGGCGGAGGAGGAGGAGGAGGAGGGGGCGGCGCTGGCGTCGGCGTCGGTGGACGACTTCACCCCCGGCAGGGGCTGGGTGTACACGACGTTCGTCTCCAGGGAGGAGCTGGAGGGCTCCGAGCATCTCAGGAACGACTCCTTCACCGTCCGGTGCGACATCGTCGTCGTCCGCGACTACCGCGCCGAGGACGCGGCGGCGGGCTTCGTGTCCGTGCCCGCGTGCGACCTGCGGCGGGACCTCGCCGGGCTCCTCGAGACCGAGAAGGGCGCCGACGTGGTGTTCGAGGTCGGCGGCGAGACCGTCGCCGCGCACCGGTGCGTGCTCGCGGCCCGCTCCTCGGTCTTCGCCGCCGAGCTCTTCGGGCCGATGAAGGAGGGCAAGGAGGACATGAAGCCGGAGGTGTTCAAGGCTCTGCTCCGCTTCGCGTACACGGGCTTGTTGCCGGAGACGCGCAAGGACCAAGACGTCACCTGCCAGCACCTCCTCGTCGCCGCGGACAGGTACGGCATGAGGCGGCTGAAGCTGATCTGCGAGGAGAAGCTCTGCGAGTGCATAAATGTGGGCTCGGCGGCCATCGTCTTAGCGCTGGCCGAGCAGCACCGTTGCGAGGGGCTGAAGAAGGCGTGCTTCGATTTCCTCGCCGCGCCGGCGAACCTGAGGGCGGTCGTGGCCACCGAAGGCTTCCAGCATCTGAGCAGGAGCTGCCCTTCACTCATGGCCGAGGTGATCACCATGTCCTTGGGCATTAGCTGAGTGATGGATCATGGATGCCGAAGTGTCCTACCAGGTGAATAATTATTGTTTCGAGACTAATGTAGGGGAAATATGTATGTAATCAGGTAGCTGACTTAGTAGACTCTAATTGATGATCGAGATGCCGAAAAAATGCCTCATTTTGCCCCTTTTCTGTCAATACGTAGTATCTCTGCAACTGTGAAAAATAACCAGGAAGTGCATTTTAATCAGAGGGCATGGAATGCTCTGGTTTTTAGGCAAATACTAGCAACTAGTGGTTTCAGATCCTTGTCATGGGATATTGCGCTTGTTTTAGCATTGGGTGCTCCATTTTGTTTCTGAACGACTGAACCTTATTGACTTGTGTTATTATTATCACTTGGTTATTGTGGTACATGATTTCATCATATGCCCAAACTTTCTAAGGAGATGCAGAGTAGTATGACACTGTTTCAGCCATCGGCACCCTTGCCAATTTATCATGGATGACTATTTTCAGGTAGTTGTGCTGATTAAACCTCCACTTCGAACTGTTAGTTATCTGGTTTCATTATTTCCCATGCACATCTAGAATGCTTTCTGTTTTTCAAGATGCCAAAACAGTCTCTTATCTACTCTGCCTGTTAATCAACAAGTACTCTGTTTTCAGATAGCTTGATCATTGCATGTACAATAGTCATGTATTTTTCTCCCCTTTGCCTTCTCCTTGTGTATGAAATCTCAGGGTTTACACTAGTTGGAAATGAAGAAAAAGAAGAGATGTTGAAACGAATGAATGCTGCATGATATGTTATAACAATCAGTACCCATACCTTTGAGGATGTGGTGATTTGGAACAGGGGAATCTTGAAAAACAATTTGCTTCTAGGACTGACATTGTCAGTAATATGTGTGAACTGTACCTGCTAGGAACAACATTTTTCTTCTGTTTACCAGTAGAGGTTCTATGTTGGTAAAGCCAACTGTAATACAAGGAATTTATATCTGGATCATGGGATGCTGTCTCAGTTTAGAAAATTAAAACATTCACCATTTGCTTTCCATTTTCTGCACGTGGTCCAGGGCTGCCTGTGAAACTGCAGGTCGATCTTCAGGGAGCAGCGAAGCCAGTTAATTTTTGTCAATAGCCATGTTTTTACCTGATTTGCACTCAGTTTTATATGACAGAAAATGCACAGGAGAATCTGGCTACTACTATATACTCCGTCTGTTCCTAAATATAAGTCCTTGTAGAGATTTCACTATAGACTATATACAGAGTAAAATGGGTGAACCTATGTTTAAAAGGCGTCTATATACATCCGAATGTAGTCTGTATAGTGGAATCTCTAAAAGGACGTATATTTAGGAACGGAGGGCGTAGTTTTAAATTTTCCTATCATATACTGAAAGCAGCTTAAATGCTGCATTTGTAACAAAAAGGAGCATGTGTTTGGTGTTCATAATAGTGTCAATAAAAACAGAACAACAGCGGTATGAACAGAATGTCGAAATCATTTTCCCCATTTCCTTTCCTTTCATGTGCACGCACAAACTTTCTTGACATTTCGTTTCATGAAAACAATGATGAATCACAAACATTGCAGCCTTACAGCTTACTTCATTTGCAGGTGAGCATGCTTTGCTTCTCACCCACCAGCACTTCCTCTAACCTACGATAACGGAATAATTTCCCACAAAAACCAATCAACAATTTACCTACATGCAGGAGCATAAAAGCCTGGAATATGAGCAAAGACAATGGAGTAAGGGGCCACGGTTATGGGCTCTGTTCCCTCAACCTGCACAGGCTCCAGCTTGGGGATGGCTCCATTGGCACCAGTTGCCAGCACATTGCCATTGAGCAGCATATGTTGGCTCTGCAGGTTCCCATCTTTGGCGGTGAGGTGGTATTCCTGCCTTGTGAGCCCAGCTGTTTCGCCGAGCTTCGGAATGGACCTTCTGTGCTCCTTTGCGCCGTGGGGATGCGCGAACTCTTGGGCGCCCTCGCTGTTCACATAGATGTGGTTTGTGTTGTTGCCACTGAGGTTGATCAGGAGTAGGGTGATCCCTTCCTGGAAAATTCAGAGGGAGAAATTTTAGTACAGGTCAGTTGGTTAATGCAGTGGCAGTTGCCGAAATGGAAGGGGGGCGTGGATCGCCCGTGCTCGTTACCGAATCTTTTGAGCAATGTGTATAAGCACGGATCTTGTTTGTGCCGTTGAATGTCGTGGAGAGAACCTTGGTTCCCATGAGGCGATGCCATAGCAGAGCACTGCAGAAGAAGGAAGGAATAAGTTGCATGAAGATGGCAAGTTTGGCATCATGTTTCAGTGCACAGGATGTATGGAACCAATACTTAACTTGGAAACTAAGTATGTGGTGCCACATTCTAATAAGTGGAATGATTTTAGACATGCATCGACTGGTATGTAATCATGATTTATGGTGTTCAAGGCCTTGGAATAAAAACATTATAGTTTTTCCTGTAGCGGAACTTTTCAAGAAATTCAGGCATGGCAGCTTACCTGTAGTAATCAGGATTTGGTTCAAATGTTGTTGTGTTGAGCAGGCCGTAATTCCCTCCAACCAAGGTTTGCCTGCAATAACTCTTTGTGTCGTACTTGGCGGACATCCCGAGTTGATCCAGGTACCTGAAACATCAACATGTCGTGGTTGATAAATACTATACTTCAGAATTCAGATAGTAACTTCAACTGCTGATCATTTTCTTGGCTTACCAGAAACTGAACACAAATGCATCAGTTACAAGGTGGTGGCCACTGTTGTAAGCCCCTCCAGCTTCGCCGACCCACGCGGTGGTGGATGTCCCTGCGGACTTCAGTATCCCCTGAAGGTTACTGAACGTGCTTACCATATTATCAAGGTAAGAGGGGTTGAGAATTTTCTCAACGAGATGCGTGTCGACACCTGATACAGCCAAAAAATTATATCCATTTATGCAGGTTCCATGTTTCCAGTTCAAGTGCCGAATCGACGGTGAGTCATGGCGAGCATACCGGGGCCTAAATTGTAGATATGGTGAGTTATCACATCCATCTGGTTCGGCTTTGTTTTGGCTACCAGCTCGGTGAACCAACCCGCGTCGAAGAAGCCTCCCGGCGCGATCACCAGCGGTTTTGATCCTTGGTATGCTTTGTCAACGACTTGGTTCAGGTTGATCACATCCGCGGCATACTGATCTGCACCGACCCGAGTCCCAACTCCACTGCCACTGAGTTCGTTTCCTGCAATGGAAGCACGGTAAGTTCCTAAACACCTGTACAAAAGGTACTGATTTACAATGTTTGTATTTTAAGCAACATTTTGGAAAGACAAGTTCAGGGTATTTCCTAAAAGTGTCCCTTTTTGTACATTGAGTAACGCGTGAAAAAGCAAAGGAGAGCATCATTTAGTGATATTTCCCCTTGTTCTTTACAAGTGATGATAGCTCAGCATCACCTAATCGACGCCGACATACTTGTCTGGGATTTCTTTTGCTCAAACCTATCAGGATCTCTCTTGATCATACTTATCAGAATTTCTTTCGTACCGTAAAGTAACTTGATAATAGTATTATAGCAAAAGAAAAAGAAGCTGTTTTTTGTGACTATATTTGTTTAAAGATCATGTTGATCAGCATACATACCAAGCTCCCAGCCATAGATATCATATCCCTTGCTGACAGTGTAGTGGATGAAAGAGGCAGCATTGGTGTAATCCCATGGCCCTCCCATGGAGCCATCAGGCATTGGGACCCGGCCATTCAGCGCATTCAGCCCAAAGACAATCTGTGCACTGCAATCATCACCAAAAGGACAACAAGCCAATAAAGTCACATTATCATTATCATTTTTTATTTACTTATATGTGTTTTTTTACAGCTACAGAGTTGGGGTTACTGATTACTGCGAAAATTTACCCGGATTTCTGGAAGAAGGCGTTGAGCTCATCCCACCGGTGCATGGGCAGGCAGCCCTGCGTGAACCCGAACATGGCCGACGTGTTCTTGGTGAAGGGAGAGCAGGGCGCACCGGTGTCGCCGGTGCCGTAGACCACCAGGTCCTGCAGGGAGCCGCCGAGCCGTAGCCGGAGAGGGGAGAAGGCTGCAAGAAGGAAAAGAATCGCCGGGGTTGGTACCGTGGAGCTCACTCAATGGAGAGATGCCATGATCGGCACCAGCATGGCAGCATTCATGAAACCGAAAGGTGATGAGCGTGCCTTACCTTTCACGGCGTTCTGCAGGATCTTGCTGGACAGGTCCTGCAAGGAGGGAGACAATCATGGCTTGCGTCAGGAGTTTCAGGATAAATTTGAAGGGAATTTTGCACAAATTAACCCGCGCAAAAATAATGACTGAGTTTAGTTGTTGTTTCTTTTCAAATAAAAATAGTAAATTGTGGGTTGTTCTATTGATTGGAATGTAACCAATTTTTTTGTTTGAAGGATGACATCACAGGGTTAGTGGTAGTAGTTTTGGAGTGGCCAGTAGGCACTAGCCTTTTGCATCAGCACATGATTGGAGGGACAAAAACGGAAATGGTCCGAGAGAATTACACTCCATGTAATCTCTTACCCATTCTCTCTCACAAAAGACCCCTACCGTTGCCGACACACGAAAAACAATCAACGAAAATACCTAAAAAAAACACTGCTCGTGCTCTACATAGAGTATCTCACATGTTTTTAACCATACTATTTGGGATGCAGGAGTTTCACAAAGACCTCAAGACTTTTTTCTTTTCCATAATACAGAAGGCCTCATTTCCCGCCGAAACAGGAAAAATGGCGACGGCGCCAAAAGTGACCAAATTACTTACCTGAAAATTAATAAATTCCGTTGATACAACTGGTATGAGTTCTGAAATTTTGTCATTCTTACGATTGAAATCCAATCTGTTTGGAGTGCAAGTACTAGTGCTCTTATTAAGAAGGTTGGTGGGCAGTGGGCTTTTGCATCTGCACATGATTGGCAGGGACGGAATTGGAAATGGTCCGACAGAATTGATTATAGGTCCGTGTAATCTCCTCCCTAGGCT